TTTTTTTGAGACCAGATCTCACTGTGTACCTCAGGCCAGCCTTGAACTCATTATGTAGCCCATCCTGGCCTCAAACCCCCAGCAATCCTCCTGCCTCAGCCTTCCTAGTGTTGGGATTACAAGTGTGTGTCACAATACTCAGCTCAAAAATTTATTAATAATTTTTTCTAAAGAATATATTCTATAACTAAAATGTTTCACACCCTATAGTATCCTTAAAGTATTGTTTCATGTTATTAAAAAGTAATAATAATACAAACAAGTCATAAAAAATCATTTAGAAAATAATTACTGAACACTTGCTCTATTTGAGGCTTGTTCATTTATTAACCTAAGGATGTTAGTACGTATGTGTCTCATTTTTGCAAGGATCCTTTAAATGTTAACCAAAGTCAAATCCACTTCTCCAGCCTCCACCACCCCAGACAAAAGGCCGGTCAAAGCACATATTTTAAGTCCTCAAAGTATTTTTCCAAGGTAACATCAGATGCAAAGAAAATAACCAGGCCATCTTCCAGGCTGTCATGCCTCTGGTAAAACTGTCTCCCAGTTCAACTTGACCATTTGTCCCTTCATTCTCAGCTCTGCCACCAGAGTAAATTCTCACTTGCCTCTATCCTGCCTTCCAATGGGAGCAGGAAGACCAATTCCAGGCCATGCCATGGTTACAGAAGTGGGAGGCAGCCTTCCCTATGATTAGTCACAGAGCCGCATTCAAATGGGTAAACCAAGGCTGGAAGAGAACAAGAAGACCTGGAGCTAGGGGCCAGAATAAGCTCATGAATGTGGGAAAGTAACATAACAGTTGATATAGGAATTGGAAGAAAGGCTTTTGCTTGAGCATGGAATACTCTACAATCAGAAACGAGAGTAAGCATCTAGATGAAACTCACTCCTGTCCTGCCCTAGATGGATTAGTTCTGAGAGGGAGGCAGACAAGTAAACAGGCAATTAAAGTGTCTGATTCATCAATGACCAGGACACTCTAAGGAAACCTGCACAATGGAGGCCAGTCTAGTTAGCATGTGTGTCTTCTCTCAGATAGTACAGAGTATAAACAAGGGAAGAATTAAGCCAGAGCTGAGTAGTTCATTCAGAGCGGTCCAGAGAGAAACACCAAATCTGGCAAGATGAACTTTCTAGTCTTTGGGAAAGTATCTGTGAAAGTGGAATAACAATGATTAACTAGTTCAGGGATTTTGACAGAGTAATGAAGTCTTTCTTCTATACTTACCATTTAACATTCCAATATACTAATAATTAGTTATCCTATAAGGTGAATGCTGTGTGTTTTCCCCTTGCTATCCTCCTCCCAGCAAAAGAGCACTCCACATGAGGGATTCATGCATCCTGGCATCTAGAATGGAGCGTTTTACACTGTAAGTAAACTTGTTTTTTTGTGAGTAGCTTGGCAGGAATCATTTCTTTCTGACGCTTCCCAACACTGAGATATTGACAGAGCTGAGGGCCAGACTGCTGGCTTTGCTAAATTCACCACAGGTAATGTCACCTATGAGACTTCTTGACAACCAGCTTCAACATTCTCCAGAGATCCCCCAATCCTCCTCTGTGACCCCTTTGCAATGTTTAACAATGACATGGTGAGTATGGGTTAGGTGTCACTAGTCAACACCTTGGAAACATCTGCCTACCTTACTTTTATTACTATCCATATTTTTCTTTCACAGGCTTATTTCTGCTCAGTCGCTGAAAAACTAACTTCAGTCCAATCAGAAAACAGTCCAAGTCAGTAATTTTTTCTAATTTCAAACTGAGCATCCCTCGGGTAAATTTCAATTAAGCAAAAGTTTTATTATCTTCTGCCATTCTCCAGCTCAGTGTTTTCTCTCTGCCTGGAATCCTCCCATTCTACCCATTTAACTCTCAGAAGGCCTCTGGCCCATCAGCTCTGTGGTTTTAAACCCAAAATTAAGACCCAGTAGTATGTTCTGTCCTTAAACAGGCCTAATTCCTAGTTTGCATCCCTACCCTACTTCTGGGGATAAGGTCATAGCCAAGCAGCCCTCTTTACGATGGGGACCAGTCATAGTTCCTGTGTGACACTGTGTAGTGGAGTTCAGTGCCATGCCCATCTGCAGGAGACTGAAACAAGCCAATCACATCCTGTACAGGAATCAGGGGTCACCTCACCCTCTTCACACTGCAAACCCTACCTCTCATACCCACGGTTATTTACTCTGGCCCCAAGTACCAACTTCATGTGGTCCTGTGTGGCCCGCGGTGTTCTCTGTGCCGTGTGTTTGTGTGACTAATGAACTGCTTTTACGTCTTCTATCCCACCTCAAGTTTTTGACCACCCTTATAACTCCAAATGAGGCATCCATGCCTCAACAATGGAGTAAATGAGAGTTGATGAAAATATCTGGAAAGACTACCAGGGTAGAAATGGAGATTCTCATTACCTGGTTGGGTATATGTTGCATGAGGAGTTTCCTTCCGCTTGATCTGGCCGCTGGAGTCCTTCTTACTTAGTCTGGCTTTGGCTGTGATGTTTTATTCTTGTCAGCTCTTTGGAGTGTTCCTTTAGACGGCCAACAGCAGCGTAGAAGGGCGTTGAGCAGCTTCTTGGCTTTGGTTGTGCTATAGGGTGAATGATATGTGGTGAGTCCTTTAAGATCTACCCATCACAGGGGCTGGGGATTTAGCTCAGCGGCAAAGCGCCTGCCTGGCAAGCGCAAGGTCGTGAGTTCGGT